CTATTCTAGAAGCTTCTCAAGCAGAAATATTATGACTGCCTGTGGGCTAGGTGGCAGGGGCTGTTTGTAAGAGCCTGAAGCATATGATCAGGTGGACTTTCAGGGCCTTGGTTGTAGGTAGCAGAACCCGAGTCATTCGTTCACTCAAGCAGAAAAGGCGTTCATCCGTGGGTACTGCTCACAGGATCCACAGAAGGCTGAAGAATGGGTGTGAGCAGAAATTAAGAAGCCAAGGGCCCTGACCCCGGTTGGGAGGACACCATTCACTCAAGGGCCTCCACCAACTCTGCTGCTACTATGGCCCCTAGGCCCAGCCACTGGGAACGGCAAACACCCCAGGTGCTCCTGTCTCAGCTCTAGACCCCACGCTCTGGCAGGAGCATCTGCTTGGCTGTGCTTGGGTCACATGACACACTCCTGCTTCCTTCATTCAAGGCTTTCTCACTGGCAGGCAGAGAGGCTGCACTCCTGCTATCTAGGGTATCCCCCACACACACCAACTCCCAAAACAAAACAAAACATCAGGAGTTTTGAGGTGAGAGGAAGCCAAGATGACAAATGTCCTTTCCTTGGGGACTTCAGCTGGATGTTCCCAAGTTCCCTGATAGCCCTAGGATCCTCTGGGTCTGCTCTTTCCAAGAGCTGGTATTTTCCTGGTACCATGGCTGGTAGAACAGGGACTGAGCTCTATACCAATTAGGCTTCCAGGAAGTGTTTCTCAGTGAGTATAATGAGTATGTTAGCCTTTGGCACAACAGAAAATAAGGATGCACACTTATTTATAGCATCTAGCTTTCTGATTCAGAACAGTCTGTTTCAGCGGCTGAGCTCCTTTTGTTTATCGGGAAAACAGTTGATATTTATCATTCCTCCTAGCAAAAGGAGGAAGAAAAGCGTTTAAACATTTAAATGTTTCTGTGTATATATTTAAGTACTTAGTGGCTTTATTGCAATGAGCTGGTTACGTAGAGCTGTTAGGACAAACCTCGTTTTTGATCGTCATCTCCGTCCTTCTGCACACACTGGCTTCTTTGCCTCACTCCAGCAATGTGATCATCATACCTGGTTCCTCCTTCCCCACCATCCCTCATCCCCCAACTCAGTTTCCAAGCACTGTTGGCTCTTCCTCATTGGTGCTCTCTCCAAAGCATCCATCCCCCCCTACTTCTTGCCAGCCCACACCCGGATCAGGTCTCTCCTCTGCCCGTCTTGCCTACTTGATCTTTTCAAAGGGAGAGGCTTTCGTTTTTTTATTCACAGGATGCCTCTTAAAGGCACTACGAGGGCTTCTTAAAGGCTTCTTGTTCTTATCGGTAGAGCAGAGCCATTAAGCGGGCTTTGAGGTCAGGTTTGGATCCCAGCTCTGCCATTTAGTGTCTGTGTAAGTGAGCAGTGTAGCCAGATGTTATTAAGAAAACCAGCCCAGAGTGACTTAACCAAATAGAGAATTTCTCCTCCCAGGACAGCAAGTCTGGTGGAAGGCTGCAGTCACAGCCGCCACACATCATGGCCTCAGGACCCCAGCGCTTTCTCACTTTCTGCTCAACCATTCTAGAGAGTGGTCCTCATCCTTGAGCTCCACCGTGCCTGGCAGCCCCACCTCCAGCCCGGAGTGTGCGTCCCAAGGGAGGGCACAGTGTGCACCAGCTGAGAAATCCTCCTCTTAGAGACCTCCCTGCCCTCGGCCTCACCCAGCAGCTTCTGCTGGCATCACGTTGTCCTGGATGAAGTCACATGTCCGCCCCCCAGATTTTGGCTAAGGAGGTAGCTGCCGATCCGAGTGAGGGGCCAAGTGTTAATCTTGCTTGGGATCTTGCTTGGGATCTGCAGGTGCCCATCCCATCGCATCACGAGGCATACAGGTTGTGCTTATTAACTGCTAACTGCTTCACTTTCTAATCTTCTTCTGTGAGGGCAGGTTTTCACAGTAAACCAGCTAGCATACTATCTGGGGGAACCTTCTCTGTAAATACCACCCCGAAATTCTCTCCCACCTCCTCACACCACCTCTGTCATTTCCTACAGTCTGTCACCCACTCTGTGGGTCCCCAGCCGCCTCCCCGCCACCCCCCCTCCACGTGTACATCCGTTAATCCCGAGACTCCCATCATCACCCCCTCCGCTCCCTGCTGGCCACAGAGCATCACTAGGGACAGCTGGCAGCCGGTGCCACAGACGCCAGTGCCCGACACCCCAGCCTCCCAGGTGACCCTGACGTCAGCATTCTGCACCCTGCAGTTGTTGTTTAAAGCTTGTGTGGCCTTTTTAAAAACTCCCAGCCCTGTTGTGTGTCTCTGCTCCCATACCCACTTCATCCCATCTTTGCAGAGAGAATAGTGACTGGGTGGGACAGCCAGGAGGGGGCTCTCCTCTGCCTTCTGGAGCCTGCCTGAGACCCTATCTGTGTCTCCTTTCCTGGCCCCGAGGTAGAGATGCTTCCCAGGTCCTGCCCCAGCCGCCCTCCCTAGGAGCACTCCTCTGATGTTCTCCAACCTTTTCTGACAGTGTCAGCTGTTTTCTCAAATGTGCTTTTCCCCAGGTATTTTTATTATGGTAAAATACGTATCTTACCACCTTGACCATTTTAAAGTGTGCAGTTCGGTTGGTGTTAAATATAATCACAGTGTCATGCAGCCATCAGCACTGTCCCAGCCCCAAAAGGCTTTGCCTCTTGTAAAACTGGAACTCGTTCCCCAGGGAACCCTAACTGCCCTCACCCCGGAGCCCCCATCCTGCTCTCTGCCTCTGGGATTTTGACTGCAGCACTTCATACAAGTAGAATCATATGATATTTTTGACTGGTTTATTTCACTGAGCATAACATGCTCAAGGTCCGTCCATGTTGTAGCACGTGTCAGAATTTCCCTCCTTTTCCATTTTAAGGCCAGATAGAGACACCTATGTGGCTCAGCTGGTCAGGGGTCCAACTCTTGATTTCGGCTCAGGTCGTGATCTCAATCTGCTTCTCTCTCCCCCCAGCTCGAGTGTGTTCTCTTCCTCTCAAACTCTAAAAAAAAATGAATCTTTTTTAAAAATGAATTTAAGGCGAGATAATATTCATTGTATACTTACATCATGTTTTGTTTGCCTGTTCATCCGTTGATGGACACCTGGGTCCCTCCTGTGTTTTTAGCTCTTGTGAATAATGCTGCCATGAACCTCGATGTAGAGATACCTGTGTGGGTCCCTGCCTTTAATTCTTTGGGGTCTGTCTGTATGCCAGTACTGTGCTGTTTTGATTGTTGTAGCTTTGAGGTAAGCTTTGGAATGAGGAAATGTGAGTCCTCCAACTCTGTTCTTTTGAAGATTGTTTTGGCTATTTGGAGTCCCTTTTGATTCCATGAATTTTAGGATGGGTTTTTCTATTTCTGTAAAAAAAAAAAAATGCCCTTGGGATTTTAATAAGGATTGATTGTGTTGAATCCATAGATCGCTTTGAGTAGTACTGACATTTTAACAATACTGTTTGCCAGTCCATGAACATGGCATATGTTTCCACTTATTTATGCCTTTAATTTCTTTCAGCTCAAATGTATGTCTTTTGTTAGATCTTCTCTTGAGGCCTCAACTAGAGATCTAACTATCTCTAATTATCTCCAGTAAGTCACCACATAACACTTCAAGCTCACCACATTGCTTACCATAAGCTCATTAACAAAGAAACTTTTCTTCTCCATTCTCCTTTTATTCTAGAAATTTTCTCTTTCTCTCTCATAAAAACACACATCCACACATGTGCATACACAAGGGTCTTCTCTGCCATGGGTTTGCTCCTAAGTATATGGGCCAAAGACTTTGAAGGCCTTCTTTAGTCCCTACACCTCACCATCTATCCGACCCCCTTCCTTGGGTGTCCTGTCTTTGCTGCTTCTAACTCAGACACATTTCTTGGTTCTGTCCCTTGGTTCTGACATCCCTGGACCATTCTCTGTACCTTATTCCTGGTCTGTCCCCATTCTGGTTGCACAACCCTCCTCCCTCCCCACCCCTAAATGATCTTCCTCAACTCTGATGTGATCATTATGACTCTGGGCAGAAACCAGAGGTCCCTCACTGACAGAGTAAAGTGTATCTGTAGAGTATCCGAGCAGGCACTGAGGGGACAGAGGAGTCAGGATTTCTGCCCTTGATTGTCTCCCATAGTGAGATATGGCTGGGCTGGGGCAAGAAGAGTGAAGACAGTGACTTAACATACAGTTATGAACTTGAGGGATACAGAGGAAGGAGAACCAAAGCTGGGATGGAGGAGGGAGATAGAACATGTCAGACTTCCAGCTGACATGTCAGACTCTCAGCAACGTGGGCCCAGCCTGATTCCACCCATTCCTGCCCATGTGCCCTAAGTTAGATTTATATTGGGTCACTTGCCATCGTAGAGTCAGAGCGCACCCTGTTAACCTCCACGTCTCTGTTCACACCCCCCCTCTTCCAAATAATGGCTGCATTTTTTTTTCTTTCTCGTTAATCAAGGCCCAAACTAAGTAGTATTTTTCTAGGATGCCATTTCTGAATTCTGCGATTACTCTCCCACTCTTGGGGCAGTCAGGTCCTTGAGTTGCAGTTGCTTGTGTACCTGCCTCTTTCTTTTGTATTGGATGAAAAACTACTTGAGTCAAGGATTGTGTTTTAATCAACTGTGGATGGTCCTGGCTTCTGGCAGGTCCCTCAGGAGGGGCTTGGGGGAGGATTATGTTTTAAGCATTCAAGAGAAGTAGATTTGGGGATGCCTGGGTGGCTCAGTGGTTGTGTCTGCCTTCGGCTCAGGTTGTGATCCCAGGGTCCTGGGCCCAAGTCCTGCATCAGGCTCCCCATGTTCTCCTTCTGCCTGGGTCTCTGCCTCTCACTCTATCTCTCATGAATAAATAAATAAAATATTTAAAAAAAGAGAGAGAGGTGGATTTTGTAGGACTTGATATGTGTAGATAGACACAAACTCACACTTGTCCACTTGTGGCCCTGGCAGTGTTCACATGTCTGCCTTTGTTCTTCCCTCTAACCAGTGCTTGGAAAGAGCCATGAAGTTTGCCTTTGAGGAGTTCCAGCTCTGGTACCAGTTTGCTCTGTCTCTCATGGCAGCGGGAAAAGTGAGTCGCCCCTGGTGATGCACCCTCTCAGTCAGCGCTTCCTGTCTTGAGATTCCAAGGGGTGATATCATTCCTTGTAGAAATCTAAACCAACTATATGAACCTGTCCTGTGGTCATTTATAAAAGAACCATCAAATATAATGATATGGGAGCCAGCATGGACATACCGTTGAGAAGAGAAATTCTGAAATACTTGTCTCTTTCTGGCCCTTATAACTTTGTCGTGTGAAGACAGGGCTTAAACCAAGGCTGCTTCTTCACACAGACCCTTGCCTCACTTGCAAGCATAAATGTATTCCTGGGGGGGGGGGCATCATCAGTTGTCTTTAGAGTGTATCACATCAGGTAGTGTGTGGTACTGGTTGAAACGGTGGGCCGTGGGGTCCGGCTGCTGTAGTTGAGGCCTAGAGCTGTCCTCCCAACTTGACCCAGGCCAGGTTAGTTAGTACCTCCATTTCCTCCTCGGCCAAGTGGCAGCATAACAGCACCTCCCTCACAGAACTGTTATGGATTAATGAGGCAATACCCACGAGATGCATGGTATAGCACCCTTCATGCCATACATATGTAATAAAGGCAGGAGCCATTGTTCTTCTTGTTAATTCAAGCCATTTAGTGATTTATCAAATCTGAGACATGAGATTATTTGGACCAAGTAGAGATGAAAATTTAGTATAGTGTGCTCTGTTATATAGTTTATTTTTCATAATTAGCCTTCACTGTCTTTTTTTTCTTATTTTTACAAATGTTTACACAAGTAAGGAAGAAAATGAGGGTGATTCCAGGGAAGCAGCTCTGCTTGTTCTAACCACAGTTTACTCCCCTGTCACTCAAGTGTCCCAAGCTCTGGTTGTCACCATCCTTGGGTTGGGCTCAAGATTGAAAAGCCTCATTAAGAGGATATCCTAACCAGAACCCCTCAGGGAAGGCCCTAGTATTTGGTTTCCTTCAAAAACTTTGAGTTTCACAGAAATAATCTCCTTTTGCCAAGTCTGCTCGTGCCGTGAAGGTACTGAAAGAGTGTATCCGTCTGAAGCCCGACGATGCCACCATCCCACTCCTCGCCGCCAAGCTGTGCATGGGCTCCCTTCACTGGGTGAGTAGGGCTGGGGCCCTGTGCTCACAGGCAGGACTGCCAGTGCTTTCCACCTCCAGGCACTGAGAGAACATAGTAGCAATTCATCAGCTGCACAAAAACAAGGCTCTTCAGAGCTCTGGCCCCGAGGCCTCCCACCCATTCTAGGACCCCAAGGAATCATGTTCCCTGGATACTCCCGGTGTTCTTTGTCACGGGAATGTGCTTCCAAAGTAGAATCGATAAAATAGAATCGGAATTCGTATTCACATAAGTCTTACTGTACGCAAGGGATGTGGGACTGTACAGGTGTATGTCACCACTTGACTCACTCCTAGCAGAGCTGAGTTTTCTATGAAGCAGTCTTCCTCTACTTGAGCTCATGTGGAAACCAACCATGCTCATCTGTCTTCCTTCACAGAGGCTTTCCTCTTCAGGTATTCTTGCTCAAATTTGAATTTGGGAATAATAGTCTGCTTTGTAACCAGCCTAGTACCTCAAAACTATACCATTTGAGTGGAATATAGAAAGACCCAGACTAACCACTGAGGTGGTGGTATGGATTATGACTACATACGATCCAGTTTTAATTTCTTTTCTTCAACTTCAATATCAAGATTAATTATAAGAAGAATTTGCTCAAAAGACCATGGTGCCTTGCTAAGGATTTTTACCATTAGGGCCCTTGCTGCCTGTTTTTTTCCATTTATTTTCACCCAGCAGGATAAAAGTAAGCCCTGTGAGAAAGTGTTCTACTTCTGCTAAATTTTACCAAGGGAAATGTGGAAGGAAGAAGACTTTTTCAAAGAGCAGGCTCTCACCTGAAACTCACAGCTGCGAAGGTGTCATGTGGTCCATGCAGGATTCAACATTTGGTGCCTTGAGCCAGGGAACAATGCGGGCAGCCTCGAGCAGTGGGCAAGGAGTGGGCCAGACCCTTCAGTTCTGAATATGCCAGTTTCCAGCGATGGCTATGTCGCGCCCCTTCCAGCTCTGGCATTGTTCATGGCTATCACATAGATCTCTCTAAGGCCAAAAATAAACCGGACTCTTTTTTATTTTTTTAAGATGAACATAACAAATCTTTTCTGTATATATTTTTAACATTTTTATTATTAAAATTTCTAAACACCACAAAAGTAGAGTATGATGAACTCCCAGGTACTCTCATCTGGCTTCAATGACATCAACATTTGCCATATTTGAAGGAACAAATCTTATTATTTGGCTTCTAGTGACTTGTGCAAAAGGTCTTATTGTGGGTGTAGTTTACAGGTGTGCATTTTCTCATTGGAACCTGCTGATATGAGGTCCATGGGCTGTGCGTTGTAAAATAAATAGATGGGAGTTCTGAATATTCTAACAGCTTGTAAGAAAGAGAATCCAAGCCTAAATGTATTCTTTTTGTCATCATTTAAAAAGGAAGGACCCAGACACAAAAAGTGTCAAGGAGTTTATTATATACATATACATGTATATGTGTATATATGTAACACATGTATATTATGTATATAATTATAATTAGTGCATTATATTGTTGTTTTATAATAAAATTAATCATTTATTATATATTCATATATATATATATATATATATATATATATGTAATTCACTTCTGAATACCCAAAGCCTAACTACAAAACCAATTATTGAAAAATAGAGATGAAAAAGCTAGAACCATACCAAGAATGAAAATGACTCTGGAAAAGAACGTAAAAAAGCAGTAAGGAAACCTTTGAAGGAGCAAGGCAAGGTGGGAGCCCGAGGACTGTCAGAGAGGCTCACATACAGAAAACAGAATCACCACAATGGAACTGGAAGATTTGGGAGTGATTTTCACAGTGACTCATCAGAAATCTGTTTTTGGCAGCAGATGCTTATGGGAACTCATGTCAGAAACTCTGCAGGTTGTTGTTGTTTTTAACTTGTCTGGTTTTTCAGCTGGAAGAGGCCGAGAAGTTTGCCAAAACCGTCGTCGATGCAGGAGAGAAAACGTCAGAGTTCAAGGCCAAAGGCTACCTAGCTCTGGGGCTCACGTACAGCCTGCAGGCCACCGACGGTGAGAGAGGTCCCACTCCATGGGAACTGGGAGCCTCAGGGCTGGGCTGCCTGAGTCTGTCCTGCAGGGTCCTCACAGTCCCCTCGGAGGACTGTGGCAGGAGGCCCAAACGAGTAAGCTGGGTCTTCAGGGCATGCCATCACATGGGGACCTGCCACCACTGCCACCCTGTGTGTCCAGAATGGGTGGGACACAGGTGCTGTGCACCAGGTGCACTGTGCTGGTGATGCCGGCTAACAGGTACAGGGCATCCACTGTGAGGTGAAGGTGAGCAGGGCCTTGAGAGACAGTCCCCTAACCCAGCCCACACCTGCACCCGCCCCAGCACTTGGCTGGGCTGCCCCTGTGGGAGTAGATACAGGCTCTGAGGCACAGGAATGTGGGAGAGGTTAGGACCAGCCTCCCCCAGGAAGCTTCCCTTGATTCCTCAGAATGCTCCCTCTCTTTTAGTACATTTTAGTTCACAGATATGTATACATGCAGTGCAGCAGCTTTCCAAACACCCACACAGTGACATGCATTTTTGGATGTAGACACAACGTGGCGATTCTGGCTTTTAAAAAAAAAATCTTAATTATGTTTTGTATAATTAATGAAGTTTTCAGTTATGTGTTTGCAGGAAGCATAAATTGATAAATTATTTTCCTGAACTCTTAGTATTTCTTTTGCATGTTGTAGTTCAATATGATATGAACGCAAAAACTTTTTTTCAAAAACAAATGTGTCATTAATGAATTAGGATACAGCAGATACCTTTTCAGTCACCACCCTTGCCAGCCACCTGGGGAACTTTGCATGCACCCCCTCCCCATCACAGCACCCCCCCCCCAAGAGAAAACACTCTCCTGATTTTTTAGTATCCACTTCCCTTTTCTTTCTTTTCAGTTTTGCTATTGTTTCTTTTACAAATTACCCCAAAGCTGCCTTTCCTCTGCCCTAAAATATCGGAGAACCTTAGAGAAGTTTCGCATATCAGCTGATTTTCAATAATGGCTCTTTTGGCTAATTTTTCATGTGCACATGCTATCCTGGCAACACCCAGTGCGTTGTTTTAACTATAGTAGACTTTCAGTGCAGGATAAGTTTAAGGCCAGATATTTATCCATATAGAGTCTTAGCCTGGACCCTAACCCCTAATTAGCCTTGTAACTTTGGGACAGTTGCCGGAGCATGTTGATCTTCATCTTGCATTCACAGCTCAGTTGGGCCACCTGAGGTTCTCTCTTGTTTAATCGCTGTTGGTGTAGGTTAGCGGTGGCCGTGGCCGCTTCTGGCCCTCTGGGACAGACTTCCGCCATTCTCAGTGTAGTGGCAGGCGGGGCAGTGTTAGACAGGGCCTCCTGGGTTCCTCCTTGATTCCAACCGTAAGTGGTTCCTCTGAGACTTTTGCTCTTGCCCCCAGTAAAAAGTGCCTCTACAGTTCCCCCAACAGACCCAGAGGGAGCCATTTCTCACATGCTCGATCCAGGGGAAATGTGGGCTCATGGCAAGATGGCCTCACACTTCCCAGCTGATCGTCTAGTATCAGTGTTGGGTCTGCCTGTTGTATCCCTTGTGTTTACATCAAGATTTTGTCCAGTGTGACTTACATGGACCTTCTATGGCATCAAGCTAGTTCCCTTGGCCAGGATCATAGCTTCTCCACACCAGAAGGCACTCTGAAGGCCATCTGATCTGAAGCCCCACGGAGGCTTGAACCCCTTGTATGCCACCTGGTAGAAGCAGTCCTTACCCAGGAGCACATGCCTACACTTGAGAAAGCAGATGTGCTCCCCTCTAGAGTTCCCACCTGGCCTTTGACAACAAACCCCTATGCCTAGGGCATCAAGGTGACCAGCCAGCTCCTACTGGCAGTGATGGCTTCACAGTTGTGCTCACTGAGTGCAAGTGTCTGGGGTTGGTCTAGGCTTCATTTGCTGGCGCCTAGATAGGCCTACAGCACACAGGCGCCAGAAATGTGTTGCTTCGCATCCAGTTGAATGTATAGTTTTTATGATGAGCTTTGTATTTGTCAGAAACTCTCCTGATCTTCCATGCCACTGACTAATTGAACCCTTTTCTTAGCTTCTTTGCGAGGGATGCAGGAGGTCCTACAGAGAAAGGCGCTTCTTGCATTTCAGAGGTGAGTGGGAGTTCATCTTTTCACTCGGCTGTGCATAATGACACCAAAGTATGATAAGTATAAAAAGAAGAGATATTTATAAAGATTATGTAAACAGTGTTTTCCCCCTGGGAGTCTTTCATCTCAAAGCACTGAACATACAGTATCAAAACTTGCTGCCTCACTTGTTGCCACGTAAACCTGCACCCTTACTCTGTTTTTCCATTTGGGGACATGTTATTCATTCCTAATGAAATGATTTCAGCTCTAAGAAGATGGATGTAATACTTGCATGTCTAGGGAGATGATTCCTTTTATTAAAGGCAATTGTCAGCATCTAGGAGAGGGATCATTCTTTTTTTTTTTTATTTTACATGTCATACTCCAGATTTTTATATGAAGAAATGAAAAAAGCCAGATTTTTAGGATAGTTTCTGAAATGCTATGCCAAGACATGCCAGCAAGTCTCAGGACCCCGCACCTCTGCTGTGCTCCATAAACCTGTGATTGTCTCCCTCATTACGATTTTCATGAAATTAGGAGCATACCTTACAATTAGAGAGTGCTTGAATGCTCTTTCTTGTCCCTCCTTAAACCTGATCGTCGTGCTAACAATGCAGACAGAACAAGCAGTACGTAACTGCAAGGAAGGGACTAAGACGGGCAGGAGGGAAGATAGTTGCCGGAGTCACAGAGCTGTTGCAGTCAGGAGAGAGTCGAGGTCTCTTGACCCCCGCTCAGCCTTCCTTGTATCCTCTGCCACACTGCCCTAATTTGTTTCTTCCTGCAGGTATAATAAATCACCCAAACGAACCACTGCCTGAAAAGATAGCCCCATGATGTCAAATCTTGAATGGGTATTGATCCTACCACCTTAAATATATCTGAGTTGCATTGACCCCTTGGAATCGTATTCAAAACTTAGTAATTTACCTGAAAAATTCGTGAGGCCCTCTCAATACCTAATAACCCTCGTTTGATTTCTTTCCTTAAAACTGGGGTTGCCTGCAGATGTGTCACAGTACACGTGTCCCTGTGTTTTCATGAAATCATGATCCCTTGGCTTCAGTTACTGAGGGACTCTTGTCTGGTTTCTTTTGGTTGCCTAGCAGGCTTGCTGACAACTTCTTTGCTTTGCCAGCCCCGGACTGGTTAATGGCACAAAGTACCAGTTGACATCTGCAAACAGACCTCCTATCCCTGTGCTAAGCTTTTGTTAACGTTCTTCAGCATGGAGTGTGGAAAGCATTTCCATTTCAAATGATTTGGAGTTTTACGTCCTCCAGCCCTGGTTTATAAAACCCACACATGGATGCCTATGAAAACGGTCATCACATCTGCTTCACTTTCCTTAAATCAGCACATCTTACCAGCTCTCTAAAAACAGCCGTGGTGGTGGTCTGTCTTGAGCTGCCAGAATTTGTAACTTCATGTTATATAACAGCCATTCCATTGGCCTGAAATTCCTTTTTGTTCCTTTTTTACTTAGGTTTCAATTCAAAGAGATTTTTTAGAAATACTAGTTCATTTGAGAATAAAGAGTCATAAAACCCTGCTAACCTACATGATCGTATCGGGGAAAGCTAACCTAAATTAGGTTTGTGTGAAATAAGTAATATTTTTCGTAGGAGTCAAGTTATTTTGTTTCAAGTGCATTCATTACCTGAAACTATTCTAGTGCATCGTAGACTTTAAAAAGAAAAATCTATAAGGGAATGATTTGAAATAGATAAAAATGATTTACATTACTTCTTAAATGTAAATGGGTATTTAAAAACCACTTGGCTGAGAAGTACTTATTTGCTGTGTATTGTAAATCTTCTCCCCACAATTCTACTATGAAGTCTACTATTATTTGACAATTTTTTGTTTAAAGAGAAAACTGCGTTAACTCCAAAGGGATGAGGTTGGGGCTCCTGGCTGGCTTGGTCTGGAGCATGCACCTTTTGATCTCAGAGCCCCAAGTTGGGCATGGAGCCTACTTTAAAAAAAGAAAGGGATGGGTTTATAGTTAGAACATGTGAAAATTACCTCTTAATTATGACCGGAGTCAGAATGCAGAAAGATTTGCTCTCTAGTGGATTCACAAAGGTGATTTTTGAAGACATCTCAGGTGCATGACTGCATTTTAATGCTGAGACCCTCAGCTGTTTGCTGACCCCCTCACTCAGCTCAAGCAGCTGAACCAGCTCCTTTGCCTGGTACAGAAGTATCATGAGGAAAAACAGTGTCATCTACAGAGCTTCCTGAAGATGCACAACTGATCTGAGTGGCTACCTCTGTAGGCTCTCACATCCTCCAGAGAAAGCAAGCCTGAAAAGAGTTGAGAGCATGCTTCAGCAACTTGACCTAACCATGTGCAAAAATCTGAGCTCCTCCAAAGGAAGGGGTGACATGATATCATTCATGTTTGTCACACAAAGTGGCACAGGGTGTACAGTCTGGCCCCTTTTTTCCTCTCCCCCTCCTAGCTTGAGTTGAAGTTAATGTGGTATGTTTTGTGTACATGGAGTGGCCAACCATCCCAGTTTGTCAGGAACTGGGCAGTTCTCCAGAATGTGAGACTTTCCATATTAAAACCAGGAAAATCCTGGGCAACCTGGGACAAGTTGGTCATCTTATGGGTGTAACTAAAGGGAGGTTCCTGAGTAATAACTTTCATCAGGTTTTTTTTTTCTTAATAACACACTGATCCCATGTCCACTGTAATCAGGACTAAAGAGACCTCAAGAACTGGCCAAACAAGGCAGCAGGATGAAATGGTAGGGAGACCAGGCCTGCAGATTTCACTTCTGGTTTGAACTCTTTTGCTGGATATTCTTAGGATGCTTAATAGTAGATGCTTTACAAACTGTAGTTATTATTGTTACAAGGTATGTGTCTTATGGGCCAAGTTCAAGTTAGTCAGTCTTCTCTGTATTCTTGGGTCAACTCTAGAGGATGTTGGAACCAGAGTCTAGGAGAGCACTAGAGTGATCTCAGTGCATTCTGAGTTTTAGCTGGGTGGCCTGAGTGGCCCATCTGTGCTTTCCAATAACAGCCTAACACACCTCTCTCAGGGCCTGCTCCCACTGCACGGTAATGGTCACTTTGGGTCTCCCCCTCTGTGGGGCTGGGGGAGCTCCTGAAGGAAAGACACTTGTATAATTTTTTCACTTCTAGCCTTCCCAAGTGGCTAGAACAGGTCCTGGCGTCACAGGAAGTACTGCATAATGTGGATGATTAGATGGATGGGTGGGTGAATGGGTGACTAGGGTGGATGGATGGATGAGTGGATGGATGGATGGATGGATGGATGGATGGATGGATGGATGACTAGGGTAGATGGATGGATGACTAGGGTGGATGGATGGATGAATGGTAGATGGACAGATAGGTGGTTGGGTGGATGGATGAGTGGTTGGATGGATGGATGGATGGATGGATGAGTGGATGGTGGGTGACTAGGGTAGGTAGATGGATGATGGATGAGTGGACAGATGGACAGCTGGATAGAGGGACAGATGGATGGATGAATGACTTGGGTAGATGGATGAATGGATGAGTAGGTGGGTGGTTAGATGGGAGACAGCAGTCTGATAATCCTTTCTTTCCTCATGGGAGAGAAATTGACTTAATGGAGATGGAGGTGCTTTGACAAGGGAAGTGCTTTGTGAGCATCCCTGTGTTGACATTTTTAGGTCTCTGGGTTTCTCTTAGCAGCCTTACCAGGTGCTCACTGTAGGAGATTGGAGTTATGAGGCTGCTTCAAATCCATGTACAGAGGGGCACCTGGGTGACTCAGTCAGTTAAGCATCCAACTCTTGATCCCAGCTGAAGTCTTGATCTCAGGGTCATGAGTTCAAGTTCTGCATGGGGCTCCATACCAAGTGAGGAGCCTACGTTAAAAAAAAAAAAATCCATAAGCAGAATCTAGCAAGCTTGCAATTTTTAAGATCACTAACGTCCTTCATCTCGCCTGCATTGCTTGCTGATTTCTGCTGAGCAGGTTTTCTGTGGGCATGGCTGTGCCATGGGAAGCCCAGCTGCTAAAGCTCTTCTGCCTGACTGAAGCAGGTTTTCTGGAGTCTACAACGCCAGTGATCTCCTCACTGCATTTTTTCTGGCTTTCTTGGGCATTATCTTTATCTCTTTGTTTCTCTCATAGGCTAAAGTGGTCAGTTTAATTCATTAGTGGAATTACTGAAGTAAAATTTTTCAAATGTGTATGTTTAGGTTGTGTCTCCTTAGAAACCTGACAGTTGGATATCCATTATTGGTCAGGTTGGCAGTTCTTCAGTGTTTGTCCTGATACACCCCAGAAATGCTGAGATTTCTATCACTTTCCGTTCAGATTTCCTTTCACAGTGCTGTGGCTAGCAGTTAATCATTATTTGATGAGGCCAGGGTGGGGCCTTTGGTCAGGACTACCTCCACCCACTCCCTGAACTCAACAGGACATTGCCAGCATCTCCCTTGGTTGGTGGTGGGCAGAGGCAGCCATGATTTGATTTAACTTCATTTGTGGCAAATCTAAATGGGGCTGAGAAAATTAAAGCCCTGAGGAATTTTTTTTTGAGGGTTGTAGAAACATGACTTTATCAATTGTGAAAGAAGATAAGATAAAGAATGCTAAATAATTCAAAGTCTCTTCATAATTAATTTTGTATTCATTTCCCCTGAGTAATTGGGAGAGAGAGAAACCATGATGACATTCTGATCTCACTTTTTTATGAACACTGAAGGAAAAAAAATTCTTTGATGTACAAATTCATGGAAAACCAATACCTGTAAAATAATAAAAACTGGAGTCCACTGAGTAGGCCTTCAATAGAAATAAGACATTTCAAAGGGCAACACAGGCAACTGGTTTCCGCCTCTTAAACTAAGGTTGTGTCCTGAGCAAGGTCACTAATGGAGCCTCCCCAGGAATGAGAGTTGAGGTGCTTTGCTGTTGAGATTAATAAAAGGACTGACCTCACCCCCACCCCCCCACCACGTTCTTCCCCAGTCCCATACTGGACCTACCACATTTGCCTAAACAATGCCCTAATTGTTAGACTTAGTATTTTCTGGATGCCAAATACCTGGAAGACTTTTGAGCCTTTTTCTCCACAGCAGACAGTTTCTGCAAAAGGCCTTATTACCACAGAAAGCCACCCTTGGCATGTTTGATGCAGTTGAATCCATAATGGTTTGGCTTCCTTTTTTATCTCAAATTTGTTTTCTGCTGGTAAAAGATCCTCCTTTAATCACAGAGTGTTGACAGAAGAGCACAAAGGGTTGTTTACCATCTGCCCCCCTCCCCATTTGTAATTATTCTGCCCCATGGTACCTTTTTTTTTTTTAAGATTTTATTTATTTATTCATGAGAGACCCAGAGAGAGGCAGAGACACAGGCAGAGGGAGAAGCAGGCTCCAGGATCACGCCTTGAGCCCCCCAGGTGTCCCTCCCATGGTGCCTTTAAAGTAAGTTAAAGTTTTTCTCTTCCTCCCAGAACCTTAAATGCAGAATTGTGTCCCCTATGTAGTCACATTTTGAGTTAGGCTTGGTGAAATGCAAGTGATTTCCACATAAATGCAAGAATGACTATGTTTGCCATCAAGTAGGAGGCCAAGGCGGCCTCTTCCCAACCACTGTCCAAGGCCAGTTAGTAAAACCAAGCCTAGCATCTGGCTGCAGAGTCCTACGTGCCACAGCTACACAGACTACATTAGTAAATTGCATGGAACTTAGTAGAAGCTTCGAAAGACTGAACGAGAATCCTTTTCTTCCCATGGTTCATCAAAAACCAAAACCTCATTTTACAAGCAAAGCCAGGTCTTTGATTTTCATATGGTTTCTCTGAAATCCAGAAATTTGGATGAAGTAGCGTTAAGGCCAAGCCAAAACTTAACCAAAGCAGCCATCACCCTGCCAAGTACACTCGTAACCTCACCGTGTCCCAGCATGACACGTGGGCCTCTCCCTCTCAGCCCAAGGGAGGCGTCTGCCAGAGGTGGGCGTCCAATCCCAGGAGCTGTGGGTTCCTCACCTCCAGGCTCCGCCTCGAAGCCAGGCATCAAGGGCTGCCATTTCAGGTGCTAGACAAAGCACAGACATGTGCTTCTGTGTCATACCTGTCCATGTCATGAGGGGGGAATGCGTGACATTTGTTAGTGGACAAAAGAGTTTAAATGAAACATCGCATAGTTAAATATGTAGCCTTGACGTCAAACTGCAAATGTGAATGACCGGTGGCTAGGAAGGGGAGAATAGCCTGTCCTGCATACTAATGGCCACATCTGTACTCTTTCAGGGCCCACAGCCTGTCACCTACAGATCACCAAGCAGCTTTCTACCTGGCTCTGCAGCTTGCCATCTCCAGACAGGTCAGTATCTCTCGTGTTTCCTAAACTTGGTGGGTGTCCCATCTTGACACGGCTCCTCCATCGCCTCCGTGGGAGGCAGTAGCTGGTCTTCTTTCATTCTCCTGAGATGGACCTGGAGCCGGGGCCTCTTCTGGGAGGGAGCTGACTCCTCACAGCACAGCCACTGGTGGTTATGGTCAGTTTGAGCACCTGCTGCGAAGACACAGGTGTCCCAGGCTCTGCTTTGGGAGATGAAGTCCACAGACCTGGAGGATGCTGAGGGCATCGTGGGATGTAGCACACGGCACGTGCCCTGAACCCAGGAGTCATCGCCCAAGGGCCTGTGGCCCTTGGTGGCAGACCTAGTGCCGAGCTGCACCATGGGGCATTAGCCACTGGTTGTCAGAAGGTACCGGTAATAGGCGGTATAGGTCCTGCAGGTGTGGGCAGGAGGTGTGGGAGACAGGCACTCACGGGGGCTCCCTCCCCCATATACAGGACTCTGCAGCATTCTCCTTGCTGGAGACGCAGCTCTGCTGGCCTTCGTCTTCCTCATGGCAGCTTCCAAAAGCTGCCTTTGCCATTCTCAGACCCTCCCATCCCCTCCCAGCTGCTCTGAGGCTCTGGCTACAGGCCTGCCCGCCCAGCAGGTGCAAGACACTGGTGGTCACCCCAGCACATTCCTGAGTGCTGACTGGAGGGTGAAGCGGAGGGCAGGTCCCCGGACACGCCATCTCCGGGCAGGCCCGGGCCACAGGCGTGCCTCTGACTCCCTGCAAGCCTTGGAATGGCATGGCCGAGTGGCTTCCAGTGGTGACTTGGGGACCGAGGAAACCAAGGCGCCCCCTCTGCACAGGCCCTGTTGCCTTGCTGGTGGGGCTCTCAGCTAGACCCACGGGAGCTGCTACTTCAACAGCTGTGCGCTGGTTCCCCCACCACTGGGAGCTTCTCGCACCTTCTGCGTGAAGCCTCCATCCTGCGGTGGCCTACCCTTCCCCTTCCCCCTGCTCGGCTCTCCTGTTCAGGATCTGTCTTCTTCCCTAGACTTCCAGAAAGGCAGGGGCCCTCCTCCATCACCCTCATCTCTTGGTCCCGGCAGCTGGAACACAGCCTGGCATGTGTTAGGCAGCCGGTAATGCTCATTCAGCGAAGCTTTGAATCCCTTCAAGTCAGCTCTCCCTTAAGGACGTCTTATCCCACCCTGTATCTGTTTGTCCCTGATGGCTCTGTCACCCCTGCAGATGGACACCATGAGTGTACCTGCCTTTCGAGCCTCCTTGTCACAGCAGGCTGGGTGCTCTTCACACCGTGGGCGTCACCCTGAGGAGAGGACACATGGGTGGGGCCTCATGGGTGCAGCTGCCACTGCTGCAGGCCCACAGCGTAAGGGCACCGGACCTCTTTGGAAGTGTGTCCATGCTGGCCAGGGGCCCAGGGCCATAGCCCTCTTACCTTTAGAGCCCATGTCATCTGAGCAGGAGGAGGAGACAGGAGAGAAATCAAAAGATCTAGAGCCACTCTTGTCTTGGTCACTCAATAGCTAGATGGCAATGCTCAAACCTTGTCACGTGCCTGGACTCCTGGGCTTCCTCCCTGTAAATGGGGGGCCAGGCTGGATGAGCCCTCCCCTGGCTGTGACAACCCTGATGTTAGGGGTCAGTGGCAGAGAGGCCCTGCAGCCAGCATTCATAACTTAAATCCATCAAAAATAGGATCTCAGAGAGGAAAACAAAGAGGTTTGGGAGGCTCTGGCTTCTTCCTAACAGAGTGAGGTTACTAAGAACTGGAAAGAGGCAGGGGTGCTGAGAAGAGGTCCCATATGAGGACGGGAGTTGGGTGGGGAGAGGACAGGAAGGAGTCCCCGGGGCGGTTGTGTAAGAATGGTTCAGTCCTCAAGACTCTATTTCGAGATCCAGTGTCAGGTTCTAATTCTCCCTAGTTACTGTTAAACCTGCATGGAATCTCGGGTGTTCAAATATCCATTATGTATGCATTTTATCAACCCCAGTGCTTGGATGATTTTTGAAGAAAGTCTTGAACAACCCTTGCATTTTAAAGGTTAAGGTTGTATCTGGTCCTCTTTGAATTTGGATACATCTGCTTTGTATGTGGCATTGCAATTTGTTTCTTGGATGGAGTTATTTTGGGTTGTAGTTTGGAAAGGTGTGGGGTGTTTGTTTGCATATTTCCTTGATGTCTAATGGAGATGTCCAGGACAAAGGAACCTGGAAAGGCTCACAGGTGTCAGGTCGTCTGGAAAGCTCTGTTTAAGGCTTTGTAGTAACCTGTTAGGTACTTTAGTTTGGTAATACACTTTAAAAAAATGAGACAAGTTCAGCTAAGTCACTTTAATTCCACTAACAACCTCTGGCAACTTGTATGTGCTTCTACCAAGAGGGAAATTATCTTGGGTATAATCAAGAGTACATCACTTTTGTGGGAAAAGGGAAATTGTGTTTTAGCGAAACACGAAAAAGTGGGTATTGGCAGTTTTACAGAGAAGCAGAGCCTCTTGCATCACTCCACAGGTCACACTGCCGCTTGAAGAGGACATCTGTCTGCGTGTTTGTGGTTGATATCCCGGGGCTGTCATGAAGATTAAAATCTAAATGTGGCACAGGGTGAAAGGACTTTCGATATTTACAGAGAATCAGACATTGAGATGGTAGCTTCTCGTGTGTGTGCGTGCGCGCCTGCACCTGAACCTGTGTGCGCACCTGTTAAAATTCTTTTTGATTTTGTTTTAAACCAGATCCCAGAGGCTCTGGGGTACGTCCGCCAAGCTCTTCAACTTCAAGGTGATGATGCCAACTCCCTGCATCTCCTTGCCCTCTTACTGTCTGCACAAAAGCATTACCACGATGCTCTGAATATCATTGACATGGCCCTGAGTGAATATCCAGAGAATTTTATGTAAGTGCTCCTGACCTTTTGTTTACTCTTCCCCTCCCTCCTTCATTCTACCTAAGTTCAGTCCTTCGTGGATATCCTGAGGATACATAGTCCAAAGTTCCCTTGTTCTTGTTTTTCCACGATCTTTGGAAACAGATGTAGCCTGTTAGGTCGCCCTTGTTAAGTTTAAAGATAACCTATGGGGTCTTTATCGGGTCTTTCCCAGTGTGGACCATTGGTGAACTAGCTGATTCTACATGGACGGTGGGTGAACATTTTTATCGTAGTAGTTTTACATTTTCAAATGCACTTTAGGAAAAAATACACCTGAGGATCAAAGCATGAGTTCTGGAAGTTATTGGTCAGGGGGAGACTACTGATTGTGGAAACGAGTTGTCATAAAGTCAGTTTGAAGATGAATATTGAGTAAGTGCTCATGTGGATATATAGGGAGATGGCAAAGGTTAGACTGAACAAGCTCCAGTGACTGAAGCCTCCGGAACATGCTTCCTGGCTTGTTTGTCCTCGTTGACCAGAGGCTTTTCCGCTAGGTCCAGGTGGCCACCCTGTTGCAGGCAGCTTCCATCCGAGGTTCCTGACCCCTTGGTGCCATGGTTTGTCCTCTGGGAAGTAGAATTCCTTAAGTAAATCAGTTCACATCTGTGCCTAACCTAAGAACTGCCACTAGAAACTGCCATGGGCATGATTGTCTGCATATCTCCCCAGCATTCCTCTAAATCCCTCAATCCAAGCATGTTGGGTAGGCTTTGTGGAGAAGGACATTGTCGTGTGGGTGCCTTGGTTCCCATTTTATCCTCAGTGGGGTCGCCTGGTAACCAGTACACAGTGGCCAGAAACAGTAAACACTCCGCTTGAGCTGGCAGGGTCAGTGGTGGGGCGGGGGCAACTGGGGGGAGCCCGGGAGGACCGGAATGTGGGCTGGGGCAGCTCTCCTCACTGGGGCAAATCAGTGCTGCGGCAAATTGTAAGTGGATCAGCTTTGGCTTTATTTCTCTGCCTCATCACCTCACTGTTTTTAATCAGCACGTTTCAGCAGTTCTCCTTGGAAAACTGGTTCACACATTTCCATGACAAACATTTCTTTGTCTTCAAGTGAAAAAGGCACTTCTCTTCTCCCCATCGAGAAAAAAATCTCATTATAATCCCGAAAACCTCTGACTAGAGATTTCTTTTGTAGGTTCGGTTATTTGTGCCGAGTGAATTAAAGAGCTTTGCTGCAGCGTTTCGCTTCTCGCAGGCCTCCAACTTGCTCTTTCGCACACCGAGTGTATTTCTGGGTGTTATCCAAGGCTGGTTAGCCCAGGGGATCTTAACGTGGTTAGAGCACTCTAAAGGGGCCTCAGTCCTTTACCCCCCACTAAAGGACAACCTGATGCAACTGAATTCCGTTTCTCTCATCGACATTTATACAGCAGCGTTCCCTGCCTCCCACCCCTAACACCTTCAGTACATGTTAGACTCCCGCATGTGTCTCCTGTGTAGACAGCCTGCGGTGTCATCTGAGAGGAGGCTTATTAAACTAATAGCCACGCCACGCAGGGAGCAGTAAACAGTGGTGGCTAATATGGTAATACTTCCAAGTGACAGCAGCTGACAGCCTTTTCAAGTAGAATCAGTAAGGAACAGCAGTAGAGATATTTGAGGAATGCAAGCCTGTTATTTTAATGTTAAGCTGTAAGCTCAAAAAAGCAAAGCATATGGCAACAGGTCTGAGAGCAGCCGATGACTTGTTTGCTTTTTAAATATTTGTATTTCTTCCTATGTGATGGGAAACTTCTTCCCTAAGAATACTTTATTAAAAGTTGGGGCCAGATGTAGTTGGTTCTCGTGGTTTTGTTCCAAGCCCGGGTAAAACATTTCAACAACCCAAACAAGATGATACGGGCACCTGTTCCTGAATGCCAAGTAGTAGTATCTGTTTGTTTGTGACAAGCTTGCCTCCTGCACAACCACGGACTCTCGGAAGCCCGGGAGTGCCTCGTGTGTCTTGTGTCCCATCCGCCATACACAGACTGAGGGTGTGCTTGATGTTTCCTCGGCACCTGCCACATTGGAGGTGGAAGCCACGGCCACAGTTGGACTGAGGCCTGTTTAACCGTTGGACAGTTAAACTGTTGAACAGAGACTTGATTGAGCAAGCCTCTTAGCCTGATGCCAAGATCCTTTTGGTCCCTCTTAAGCACCAACTTTTATCATTTCCCGGTGACAGTAAGGATCAGTAATACTTGAGAGGCCAGCTGCCCCTCCGGGACATTCAGCTGTCTGAGCCAGTGCATGTAGGCATTTGTGATGGTAACCACTCACTAGTTGGTAGGAATTCGTATTATCCCTATGACTAGTTCTTCTCCAGTGTTCTCAAATATGGTATTTTAGAGTCCTTTAAAATTGTTGTTATTGGGGCACCTGAGTGGCTTGGTGGTTGAGCGTCTGCCTTTTGCTGGTACCGTGATCCTGAGATCCTGGAATTGAGTCCTACGTCAGGTTCCCCATAGGGAGCCTGCTTCTCCCTCCGCCTTTTTTTAAAATCTTAAAAAAATAAAAAATAAATAAAATTGTTATTAAATATTGAGTAAAAGCCAAAGGATCTTTATTACATATATTTAAAATAATAATACAACTAATACAGATGCTGACTTCTTAGTTTAAGAAAAAGATTAATATTGCCTATGAATTTCCTGTGTGCCCCTGTCTATCCTATCTCCTTACCTCTCTAACATCACAGGATGTTACCCATATCCTGAATTCTAGGTGGAGCATTCGCTTGTGTTTCTAGACCATAAGTGTTCACCCTCCCAAATAATAATGTCTAGTGTTGCATATTTAAACATTTTTAATGGAATTACACTGAATATATCCTTATATGTGTTTGCTTTCATTGCTTGACATGTTCCTGAAGTTCATCCTTATTGCATGCAGCAGCAGTTTATTCCTTTACACCAATACATTGTATTTTCATAGATATACATTGACATGGGGCACCTGGGTGGCTCAGTGATTGAGTGTCTCCCTTTGATTCAGGTCATGATCCTAGGGTCCTGGGATCAAGTCCCACATCAGGCTCCCCGAAGGGAGCCTGCTTTTCCCTCTGCCTGTATCTCTGCCTATGTCTCTGTGTTTCTCATGAATAAATAAATAAAATCTTTAAAAAAAAAAAAAGATATACCATGACGTGTTTTTCCAGTCTGTTGTAAATGGATGTACAGGTGGTTTTCACTTTTCAGCTGTTACGAAAAAAGCTACTGTAGATACTCCTGCAGGTGTCCTGGTGCACATGTGCAGGTACTTCCCTGGGCATCACCTAGGAGGGAGACTGCTGGTTGGAGGATATGAGCATCTTCAGTTTTACCAGATCATTTCAAACCACTTTCCAAAGGGGTTGTGAGCCTATGTGGCTGCAGGCACCAACACCCTGTGTTTCAGACTTATTTTTGGCAGTGTGGTTGCTGGTTCATGGTGTCACATTGTGAGTTGAAGTGGCATGACGAGCTTGAACAGCTTTGTATTTGTTTATTGGCCATTTAGCTTTCCTGTTTTGTGAAGCACAGGGAAAAGTCTCTCCTCTTGCCTAATTGGGTTGACTTTTTTTATGCCAATTCATAAAATTTCTTTAAATATTATGGTTACAAGTCCTTTTGTTGGTTACGTGTGTTATAAAAAATCTTCTAATCCATGACTAGTTTCCTGATGAATAGAAGTTCTTATTTTCAAAGTAGTTGAATTTATCAGTCATTTCCTTCATGGATTGTACTTTCTGCATCTAGTTTAAGAAACCTTACTTTCCCTTCTCCGGGGTCACAAAGATAGTCCCCTAAGTTATATTCTAAGAGTTTTCCTGTGTTACCTTTCACACTTAAATCTAAGGGTCCATCTAGAAATAACTGTCTTATGTATGTAGGATGTGAAGGATTCAGTGTTGGTTTTCCCCATATGGATACCCAATTGTCCCAGCATCATGTACTGAAAAGCTCCTTTTTCTTGTTGCCCCACAGAGCTACATTTGTCTTAAATGCCCATATATGTGGGGATGGGGGTGCCCATCAATGTATGATTGCCACTTTCTGCATTCTCACAACTTTATTATTTGTGAGGTAGGTCCATCCCTGTTTCTTGCTCTTCAGGAGTGTTATGGTGGGGTGCTGGGGTGGCTCAGTCAGTTAAGCATCTGCCATCAGCTCAGGTCATGATCTCCAGGTACTGAGATAGAGCCCCGCGTTGGGCTCCCTGCTCAACCGGGAGTCTGCTTCTCTCTCTCTCTCTTCCTCTGCCCCTCCCCACTGCTTGTTCTCTCTCTCAAATAAATAAATAAAATCTTCAAAAAAAAAAGTGTTGTCATTATTCTCAGGTCTTTGAGAACACAAATTTGATACAAATTTTTGAATCAGGTTTGTCAAATTCCACACAAAAAAAAACTATTGGAATTACGTTTAATCTAATAGCTCAGCTTGGGGAGAATTACATATTTATGACAGTTTCCTAATCCATAGCCATTGTACCTAATTACTTAGGTCTTTGAAAAATACTTTTTAATGAAGTTTTACAATTTTTCTTGTATTTTGCCCATTTTTACTAGATTTATTCCTAGTTACCTGAAAAAAATGTATGTGTGCAGATTTTTTTTTCTTTTTTCTTTTTTTTTTTTAAAGATTTTATTTACTTAATCATGAGAGACACAGAGAGAGAGGCAGAGACACAGGCAGAGGGCCTCCATGAAGCAGGCTCCATGCAGGGAGCCCAATGTGGCACTCTGGGATCACACCCTGAGCCACAGGCAGACGCTCAACCACTGAGCCACCCAGGCATCTGCAGAATTTTTTTTCTTTATCAAATTTATGATCTACTTGTTGCTGTTGTATAGGAAGGCAGCTGATTTTTGTATATTCTTTTTGACCCAACAACTCAACTCAACTCTTGTTAATTCTAACAATTTACATGTAGGTAACTTTGGAGTTTCTATACCAACAATGACTTCTATCTGAAATAATTAAAATTTAATTTATCTC